GATACCAAAATCCATGGATGCTCAAGTCCCATTAAATACAATGGGATAAGTAAAATGGTGCCCTTTATATAAAATGGTAAAATCAATGTTTGCTTTTTGGAATTTTTTAAAAAAATATATTTTCAAGCGATGGATGCTTGAACCTGTGGATAAAGAATCTGTGGATATGGAGGGCTGATGGTAGAACATACTTGGAAGTGATCAGAGAGAGATAGAGAGAAAAATCAGCTTTTCAAAAAAAAACCATCAAGTTAAAATTGTATCAAAATGCTGTTCTGTGATTAAGACTACGAAGTGGCTTCTTGAGTTAGTAAAAATGAAATAACCCTCAGATTGAATTGACTGACAGACCTACTTTAGCCTAACTTAATCTCATAAGAAGTTGGCACAAGCTGTTTTGGGATGAATTTTCAGGAAACATGGACTCCTTCCACAAGCAAACTAATCTTCCTGGAAAGCTGTCCTTGGATAACTTATGAGTGTCGAGTATAAAAACAGCTGACAGAAGCATTTTCTGTTTGTTTGCTTTTAAGACAAAACTCTTTTTACAGGAAGTCAGCATTTTCTCTATTCCTCAGTAAGATGACAGTACTCTTACGCAAGCTCAACACACATTTTACTTTAGAAAAAGAAAACAGTCTGCATGAGAAATCATATCACATGCCTAAATTTCATACCCAACAGAAGAAACAATAGTACAGAAGCCTATGTACAACAGACAAGAATAAGGTGAAAACTGCTAAATAAAGACCCAGAAAAGTTAAAATAGATAAGTCAATGTTTCCTGCACCTGCACAGAGAAATCCTTCCTTTAATAAGCCAGAATTAAAATGACATAACAATTTATGAATGATAACAGTATTTTAATCTTCATCCAGGCAGATGGGACATTTTAATTTTCCAGGGACATGTTTTCCTCATAGGATTCACATGGAACTAGACCAAGACAAAACTAAGTAGAACCACTCTAAAATGTATAATATCATTTGAAGACTTGTAAATAATGGCCAGAATCCTGTTGGTTAGTCCCAACTAGGGTAGGCCCTTTAGTCAACATATAAGTAAATTCAATTTTTTCCATGGTTTTACTCAGGTTGGGACTAACCATAGGATTTAAGACAATATCTCCAAATTTCTGACAAAAATGGGACAAAATTTGTTCCAACCAATCTACTACAGTTAAGTTGGTTATGTTCTTGCAAACAAATTACAGATTGAATTTCACTTATCTGGAATTCCAAAATCTGAAATATTCTAAAAACCAAAATATTTTTTAGGGTGACTGAGCTAGTGACAACTTTGTTTTCTGGTGGTTCATGCACACAAACTTTGTTTCATGCACAAAATTATTAAAATGTCGATGAAACATAAATGAATTTTGTGTTTAGATTGGGTCCCATTTGTTGTTGTTAACTGCCCTCAAATTGATTTCAACCCATGGCGACCCTGGTGATGAGACATCCAAGACCCTGTCCTCCACTGCTCTGCCCAACTCCTGCAAACTCATATTTGTAATTTCTTTAATAGAGCCCATCCATCTCACATGCGGCCTTCCTCTCCTCCTACTTCCCTCCACCTTCCCCAGCATTGTTGTTTTTTCCAATGATTCATGCCTTCTCATGATGTGTCCAAAGTACAACAACCTGAGTTTTGTCATCTTGGCTTCCAGGGAGATTTCTGGTTTGATCTGCTCTAGGACCCACTTGTTTGTAATTTTGGCTGTCCATGGGATCCTCAGCACTCTTCTCCAGCACCACATCTCAAATAAGATGATTTCCCTCCTATCCTCCTCCTTAACTGTCCAGCTCTCACATCAATACATGGTAATAGGGAATACAATAGCTTGTACTATTCTAACTTTTGTGCTCAATTGTATATCCTAGCATTTTAGGATCCTCTCTTGTTCTTTCATAGCTGCCCTTCCCATTCTTAATCTTCTGATTTCTTGGCTGCAATCTCCATTTCTATCAATGTTTGATCCCAGGTATGAGAATTATTTTACTATTTCTATTTCTTCATTTCTAATTCAAATTTGTGTAGATTCTCTGTAGTCATTATTTTTGTTTTCTTTATGTTCAATAGGCCTGCCTTTGCACTTTCTTCCTTGATCTTTCTTAGTAGTTGTTCCAGGTCTCATTATGTACATATATGCAAATACAGGTATTCCAAAATAAATTTTTAAAAAGAAATCTGAAATCCAAAACCTCTGGTCGAAAGCATTTCAGATAAGGAAAACTCAACCTGTAATATTTATCTACAAACAGCTATTGAAAACAGATGTTTCATTTTCTGTTGCATTTGCTGATGCAGTGTATTCTCCACCCACAAACACTTGTATGATCATGGGACATTTTTATATATCACCAAATAGCAGACTTCTTATTGGAGTCAAAAATGCCCCAGATTAAGTCACTCATGAGAGGTTACTTTATCCATCCAAATGATGGTTAAACAAAGGCATCAATGCATATTATTCTAGTTAACCAATGCAGTTTCAATTTAACAGATAGACGTACTGCACAAGCAGGCTCACCCAAGTCCACTGAATCAATACATTCAAGTTAACACAACTGCTGTTCTTTAAAAGCTGCAGGATTCAAATAAATTAGGTATTCTAAGTAATTATTTCCTCATGATGATGCTATCATTCATGCACATCAACAGGTTCATCAATGTGGAATCTTTTTACAGGGATTTAATTTTAATTTAAAAAAAATTAAGGTCCTGCTATTACTTATAGGAAAATATAATTTCTCTGGCGGTTTTGGCCATGGTAG